CAGCTTCTATCCTCCATGTCAGCAATTTTAAGAGTAAGTCCATCCACTTCACTATGCAGAGTGCTAATTACTTTTTTTATCAGAACAAACAGTCGCTTGGACTGTGTCGCACCTTAATTTCAACTGTCTCAGATTTTTATCTTGCTGTTCCATACGGAGAGGCAGCCTCACAAGTAGCTGTAAGTTGAGATCTTAATTCAGAAATCTGAGGCAACAGAATGTCATCAATGGCTTCCTTAATTGCAGTTTTGATCACCGTGTTTAAGACTTCTCACTGTTGTGACAGGGTCTGCTTCACTCCGGGCAAAATGTCGTCTTCTCTCGTAGACATTCAGGCAGATGTTTCTTTAAACCTTTTCTTTATTGGGGAGTGATCTTCATCCCGCAAATGCACTGCATCACACACAATGTCCATTTGAATTTCAGAAAGAAGTAATTTAATCGGGTTGTGAGCGAGAGCCAAACATTTTGCGCTGCATCATCCAAGATGGGTCATATGATCCCTTTAACACTAAATTATTAACATATTGTGAGCTGGTACTTTGAGAACTCTTCTAAGCGGCGAGTGAGATGACAAAATACCTTGTCCTCCAGTATGCAACATGGCTGATCGTCCAATGCAATCCTCTTTATTTTTCCCAGAAATTCTGTGTTTAGCTCTAGTTCTATTAACTTTGAATATTGATAAAGTTTAAATATTGCCCAGTAGTATCATTAACTTAAGTAATATTTTGGTGGATTAAGAAATCACGGGGTCCTGGGCACAATCCTTTCAAGCTCCCCACCATATGCCTCATGTCGCTTGTTCCTCCTGGGCTGCCCAGAATACTGGAGGGTTTTATCTGAAAATCATCGCCGACTGCCTTCACAAACAGGGAACAGGGCTTCGGAGCCTTATGGTAATTAGTTGGGCCCTGAGACCCCAAAACCCACAGTTTCCATTAACCAGTGTGCTATGACGCTAACAACAAGCACTGCATAGTTACTGGAGGATTCCGTCCAAAAATAGATGCCGATGATCTTCATAAATGGGGAACAGGGCTCAAGGACCCCCTAGGTAATTGAAGGGGCCTTGGGTTCCAAATAAACCAATGTAGTATCTGAGACAGCCCGGAGCCTTATTACCTAAATAACTAGCACTGACATAGCTACAGGACGACTTAACCTAAAAATGGCCACGAGCCGCCTTCACAAGTTGAGGGACTTTGCTTGGGGCCCCCGGGCCTGGATCCAGGTGACCCAAGCTGTAATTGACCCATGAACATGTCTACATGCCAAAAGGTTTGCTCAGTCTATACACGCATACAGCTGCAGCTACCCATAGTTCCAATAATTCCATCCATTTCCTAAGCTACAGGCACAAGGCAGGGAATAACCCAGGACAGGGTGGCAACCCATCACAGTATAAGATAATGACCTTTGGAGGTTCAGAGCCTATGTAGAAAGCTACAGGCACAAGGCAGGGAATAACCCAGGATGGGGTGGCAACCCATCACAGTATAAGATAATGACCTATGTCACAAAATCCCTGAAGCTCAGTTGCTCAGTACTCTGTTAGTAAGTGTAATACTAAATATGCAACATATCAGAGCAACATAATGGAGACCCCATGTGTAAATTTAATGTAAGGTGCTGAGTACTAGCAGGCCCATCTGAGGAAGGGCAGGTCCCACAGCGAGCAGCTTATTCAGGGTCCCAGCAGAAACCAAGTACTGCAAACCATAGTGCTGCTACTGCTTGGTCATTGTAATATAGGATACAACTAAAACAAAGAATCATAACGCACTGATTGCTGACCATGTACAATGTGACCTTTCTGGGCTAGCTAGCACCAAGCAGTAGTGTGGCCATGCATGTTGCGTGTGATCTCTTGTCTAGAGAGAATGCAGATTAAGTGTATTTCCAATACGTGTTTAGTAGGGGTGTAACAAAATAAATTCATGGTTTGATACAAGCCTTGCTTTTGTGTTTAGGCTGTGATGCAATTTCAATAAAGCAGGAAAAACAGAAATTATTTTGAAATTATGTTTTATTAGAACTGCAAACACAAACACAATTAGGAACAGTTGCAATCCAAATGCATGCATCTGTCCAGGTGTCTGAATAGCAACATCTAAGAATAATGTTTTCCATGTTGAACATCTACTTGTGAATTCAAGCTCTGCCCCTGTCAGTAAGTGTATTTGTTTTTTTCATTGTGCATATCAAAATGAAAATTATGCACTGGACAGTACATAGTAAATACATGTACCATTACAGCCCTAATATTTAGCCAAAATGACATAGTCAGATTAAATGTGGTTGCATACAATTAATGGGGGGAAAAAATCATTACTTTCCTTTTTGGGTGGCATGCTCTACTGACGGCTCTGAGTCGTGGATATTATGTATGTAAGAATGTATGTATATATTTACCCTTTGTGTTCACAGAAGCCCCAGCAGGAGTCATCTGGTCTGGATCGGCACAAAAATGGGGGGAGCTGCTTCTAAAATCAGCCCCCCTGTGGGGTGTAAAACAAAGAGAACTTTGAGGTAAGACAGAACCTGTGTCTGTTTGAACTGCATTATAAAAATCTTTCCAGCATTTTCAAAAGAGAGAGTAATCAGTTTATCGCTAGAGTTCAGTGATTCAGGTCCATTGGGTAGATGATTTACGTTTACCATTGAATTTACTTCAAGAATATACCTTCAATTGTATTCCTTGGACGCCGCCCTCTGCTGCCATCTAGCACTGATGTTTAAATTTTTCAAGACATCTGTGGGACGTGAGATGAACATGCCTTTTTTTCTTTCTTATAATCCATGCATATCAACTTAGATCACAGG